GCCCATCGTTCTCAGTGAGGCCTCAACTAGCACATCCAGGCTTTTCTTGTTCTCTACAAAAAAGGACTGGCCATATGGTTCCAGACATCAAAGATCTCAACAAAACACAAACCACAGGAGTTGATGTGGAGATAAAAGACCCAGGAAATAAAGCTTGGGTGAGGGAAGAGTACAATAAGTTTCCTTTATGACAAAATAGAACAGGAGGAAAGAAAAGACAGGGTTGACAGAAAAAAGAAAACCACACTCAGTACTGTAAACATTTGTAGCATTTGAACAACATGCATTATTCTATTAAAGCCAGATACAAACAAGGTGGGTCAATAGATGATACCAAATCAGTTTTTAAACTTATGCATCTGGTGGCAAAGAGAAAGTAGGCTCAGATGCTCTGATCAGGCAGGACCAAGGCCTGGGCTCCATGTGCATCACTAGCCAGTCACATCCTTGCGCTGTCTCAGCAGGTTCTGAAATATGCACTCTAAGGCAGACTTGATCTGAGATGTGGTGGGTTCTCGGGCAGTTTCTGCCAGGTTCTAAATAAACTGAGCACTCAGAATTCCAATGCAGCCCAAGGCTTATCTCCAGTCAAGGCTAGTGAGGGACAATGTAGCTCAGAGAGAAAAGTCTCTAGTAACAATTTTTAGTGTTGGGCATATGAATAGCTGGCCTGTACTTCCTAAATCCTGCTTAACTGGAGACAGAAACTAATCAAGAAAAGGTATCTTTCATACCCTTGGACATGAGCTGGGGATATAGCTCAGCGGCACAGTGCCTGCCTGACAAGCATGAGGTCATGAGTTTGATACCTGGTACCAAAACAAAAACAAAAACAAAAATGTTATACCCTTGGACTACATTATTCTCTCCTAATGCCCTATGTCACATAAAGGATTGTTATTCATCATTGTTGCTGTTCTGGTGTTTTTGTTTTGTTTTGCTTTTGGCAGTACTGGGGATTGAACCTAAGGTCCCACATGTGCTAGGCAAGCAAGTGCTCTATCACTAAACTATACCTTCAGCAGCTATTCATGCTTGAATAAATAACATGGTTACGTTCATGCAAATTTAATCAGCACTGGGCATTTGAGGGAAAAGTTCTAGTTTTTCTACCTCATTTTGTTGGAAATATAATTTTCCCTGGATTTCATTATATCATGAAGACAACTGGTTAATTTCTAAAGTATCTGAAACTGAAAATGGTTTAAAATTATAACAATGTAAGCAGGCCTTATGAGAATGGGAAAGAGGAGACACTTGCCATTTATAGTAAAATTTTGGTCAATAAAAAATCTGTAATAAATTGATCAATGAATGGAAATTATGTCTAATATACACTGTACACACCAAAGCCATCAATACTGTTATGAGACTGCTCTAACCTCATATACTATGCTTTTCCATGTATCTTCCCAGCAGCTATTACTAAATGCTTTGGCCGCTTTCTTTCCAGTGTTCTTTACAAATTCTTTCACCTCACAAGCTAGTAACAAAAAACTATGAGCGTTCAACAATTTTGCACTGGTTAACCTTATAAATCTTTATGTAATCTTCTAAGAATAATGCCCACAGTTTTTAGAATCTACACATAGTTAATACTGAGTACTATGTACTAATGACTCTTCTAAACATATTTCATATAATAACCCCCAAAACATGCTTATGAAGTGAACACAAGTAGCTTAGGAGGAGCACTGCTGGTGGAAAGTTCACTTACCGTTACTCAGCAACGGTCAATTGTTATCTAATATGCCCACATGCAGCTAGAAGAACATATAAACATGATAAAACAAAAATAAAAGCCTACAATTTATTCTTTCATAGGTAATAATACTGACTTCCATCTACACAAGAATTTTGTTTTTTTGATTCATGTAGAGGCACAATGGTTTAAATTTTACCTGTGAGTAAAATTCACTTTCTTTTTTTTTTGGTTTTTCTCCGGTACTGGGAACTGAACTCACGACCTTGCGCTTGCCAGGCAGGCGCTTTGCCGCTGAGCTAAATCCCCAGCCCCAAGTAAAATTCACAAGAAAAAGTAAATTAATACTTTTTTAAGACTAGGTAGAGCTCACTTGTTTACCCTGATATCCTGATGCAGTTGGCTGAATTAGGCCACAAAAATCTATATAGCCAATGGACTCCTACCACCATTTGATGAAGCCACTTGCTGGACTTTTTTTTAAACCTTTCATTATCACTATTCAGAAAGTTTCCAAAAAGATAAAAAAAGGAAAAGGAAAATGGTCAAAAGTTGCAAAGTACTGTAAGAGTTACACCACTTGAAAAAAGAATGAAGAGGAGGGGCTGGGGATTTAGCTCAGTGGCACAGTACCTGCCTGGCAAGCGCAAGGTCGTGAGTTTGATTCCCGGTACTGGGATTAAAAAAGAATGAAGAGACCATCTGGGATTGAGCTTTCCCAGGAACAGTGAAAACTTCTGTAAGCCACAGAGACCTGAAGAATCAATTAGAACAAAGTTACGCAGGATTTGGGGAGAAATGGAAAATTAAAGAATATCACAGAAAACTCTGCTTTCATTGTAGATTGAATGGTATCCCTGGACACGAACAGAATTGTACATAAAGAAAATGCTAAGATGGAGACAAAATAGGTGTTGCTCTTATATTAACAAAGTAATCGATAAAACAGACTTGGCCTTATAGTTACCTGCTCTAGGAAAGAAGACTGGAGAAGCCTGACTCCATATTATCTTCAGTCAACTTTTGTAGGCCTTTACCATTTCTTGACTGATTTACAACACCAGTATCTAGTGACATTTTGGTTCCCATTCTCCAATCCCACCTTTGCTAGGCACTAATCTCACCTACTTGTAATGGACAACCTTCAACTGGTCACTGCTACTCACAGAATGAAGTCCAAATTCCTCAGCACTACACATCCACCCAGATGTACCATTCATGTGCTGCTGTGCAGATCAGACCTCAGCCCTCATATCTGCACCCCATGGATGGTCAAATCCCAAACCCACCAGTGTATCTTGGCCCTTGCTGGGCCTTATTTCCTCATGAGGCCCCCCACAGGATTTTCATGTGCTACTATGTCCTTGCATATGGCGCTCCATCTAGGGCAAATGCCCTTCTAATTCCCTGCTTCCTCCTCTGCCTGACTAAACTCATCCTTCCAGACTCAGTCTTACATCCCTGTGGGAAGCTTTCCTAATGCCCACACCATCCGATGGGTCAGAAGCTTTTTGGACGCTGCACTGTATTTCCCACTGGACTAATGCAATGAATTGCTTTATCACTTTCTAGCTGAGTGACCTTGAACAAGTTCGTTAATTTCACTGGATCCATTGCTTCATGTCATGAAAGCACTAATTTGCTATCACAGTGAAACACGGAGTGTCAAAAATCATTTGTAAACAGTGAAGCAACCACGAAGATATGAAAAATTTTATCATAAACTGGAAGAGCACACGGTACTCTAGGTGACTATACTTCAGTTCAATCTAAGGTAAGATTCATCAGTCCTGATTTCCAGTCCCCTCTCCAAGGGATCCCTGCATTTTTACCCTACTTTCTGGCTCCACTAAATCCTTGTGCTTCTATCTTCAGGAAAATAAAAATCTACGGTAATGTTTAGGTCATTTCAAGAAAACAGAGTGGGGAGCTACTGAACAATGAACACACTTCTTTTCCTTACCTTTCCTAGTGCCTTTACACGAGTACCATGTTAACATATACAACCATTCAGTAATACACAAATATCGTTAACACATACGATCATCTAGTAAATACGAAGGCACTGAAGAAGTGAATACAAGCATACCCTCTCCTTAATAAGCTTACAGCCAAAAGGAACGAGTGATTTAACAGATGCCACATGCATCTGACCTTAAACAGTGTTTAACAAATGCTTTTCTCGTCATCTTCAAGAGCAATACATTTCCTGCTAGTCCATGTGATGATCTGGCACAAGTTCTAATTGCTATTAGTAACTCACCCTTACCATATGAGTATTTTAACATTATCAGAATCACCAAAGTGCATTCACCAGGTCATGATTCAATTCATGGTTATGGAGTTCTAACTATAGTCAGACTTATCAGAGCACACAGATAAAGGTGATGGACTCTGCTCACAAGCTACTAAATATTTGCAAGGAAGCTAAGCCATTTATTACTACAAAGCAGAAAGCTGTCAGGTGTGTGGAGGACCTAAAGGTAGTGACAATCAACGAAGGCATTTGAGTTAGGATCCTAACGGTGGCTAAGAGCTTCTATTAATATTGAGTATCTAGTATATACCACATATGTAACATGTAATACTCTGTATGCAGTGTAAGGTATCTGCTATCGCCTTCCTCCAGCTGTGTTGTTGTCTAACACTACTCACACATATGTGCTAAGCACTGTTCCACGCCCTTTAAAGGTACACTTTCTCATTTCCAACATCCCCGTTTTACAGATGAGGCACAAGGTTTGTTATTTTCCAAGACTGAGAGTTAAAAATAAAAACATGTATATATAAATAAAGACCTAAGAGAAAAAACGCATATTCTCGGAGTGCGCGGTCCCACCTGACAGAACTGCTTCCCGCAGTGCCTTCCACCTCTCCAGGGCGCACCCAGCGGGAACAACACATCGCCTTGCCTTTCCCGCCAGGGATTAATTTTCTTTTCCTGAGCCCGTAACTGAACGGTTGATTCTCCTGCGGATCCTCTCAAAACTACCCTCTCCAGAGAACATCAGGCTGCTACTTAAGTCACCGGCGGTTCGGGGTGCAGGGGACCGAGTGAGATCCCTCTCGGACTGGGGATCCGTTCCAGGATCACCTCCAGGGGTGGCAGCCACGCTCGGCTCGCCCAGAGGCGCCATCCCGGCGGCATCCTCTCCTGCCGAGCCCGGGCAGCTTGGGCTCTGGGTCTGCTCCTGCGCCCCGCACCTTCCGCAGTCCCCGCTGCCCGCGCGCCAGGACTCCCGCGCCCCAGTCTCCGCCGCCCGGTCCCCAGCCCGCCCGACCCCGGCCGGCCACTTACGGTTCCAGTACACCGGGTAGCACTCCCCCTGGGTCACATCCACCTCGTAGAGGCCGCCGCGCACGCACACCGGCTCGATGTGCACCAGCCCCTCGGCGTCGGGCTCGCGCCCCGCCGCGCGCGGGCAGAAGCCGCAGGCGCGGTCCCCCTCCTCGTAGTCGTCCTCGGCGGAGCGCTCGGGGGCCGCCGGGCCGCAAGCGAGGTCGTCGTCGCGGGCCCGGGCGCCGGGCGCCCGCAGCAGCGTCCGGAAGGCGAGCTCGATGCGCAGCGAGTCGTAGCCGATGAAAGGCTTCCAGGTCTTCTTGTCCTCCCGGTAGAACCAGCGCACCTCCTCGGGGCCCAGCTCCGCCACCACCTCGTAGCGGTGCCGGGCGGCCGGGCCGCCGGGCCGGGCGCGCTTCCTCTCCCCG